TATGGTTATCTGGGAAATTATTTCTGTTTTGAATTTTTCTAGAGCCTGATTGATCTGTTTGGTTACTTCCTGTGCTTTGAGTTCAGGGTGTCCTGGTGGTTCACTATCGGCCTTTTAATCCTCACTTGCCTTACTGTTTGCCATTGGTAAACTGGAAGTCTGTCCTTGTGTCTTGCTTAAGTGTTTTCTCATTTTTATTTTTGTTGTCGGACTGTCCTTGGTTTAATCTCTGGATTATCACCCAAATCTTCCTGATATAATTGCGCCCTAGCTTCTGTGTCTCTAATGACCCACAGACATTCTCATCTTTATAACATCAGAGAAAACAGCTCATCAAATCAACCACAATGCATTATCCCAACTGATACAATCAGCAACATATTAAGATCAAGCACAACTTTGACACTGACCACTGGTGGTAGTCACTAGTCTATCACCCTTAAATCATTTGAATTAAATTGAAATCAAGAAGCAGTCCAGAACATGTCTGCAGTGAACAAGATTTCAATATAGTGTATTTACCATTTAATGGCTCAGACAGAGCAAGGATGCAAGACCCCTGATCTCAGTTAGCCGATGGCTGAACCCCATGATGCTGACTGACCTCGGGCTGCAAGGCCCAGATTGAGTTCCCCAACCTTCTGAATGGTTGAACTCCACAATGTTCTATTACAGGTTTCCCACGCCCTTTCTTTAAAGATGTTCAAAGTTGGGAACTCAGAAAAATACCCTTGATGACCACCTCTGCCTCTGCAGAGTGGGTCCAAAGACTGGCACAGTCAGGAGGTCTGAAAGTGCGGGGGGGGGCTTATGGGGGTTCAGGGGCGCCCATGCGGCTACCTTCCTGGCACTGGAGCAATGGCAGCTGGGTTGGGAGCAGGTGTTCTATTTTTGTTTTTTTGAGACAGGGTTTCGCTATGTAGTTCAGGCTGTCCTTGAACTCGTGGCAATCTTCCTACCTCAGACTCCAAAGTGCTGGGATCACAGGAGTGCTTCTTTGTATTACTTAACTCTGATCTTATTCAAACACATAAGTGTACCTCTGTCCTCCAAAGTAGCATTTAAGTTCCTCAGAACTGGGATGACTGAACCTTACTCCACTGGAGTCTCAGAGCACCTGGCACAGGTTTCACTACCTGCCTGCAGCCCGCACCCTCAGTCCTGAAAACAAGCATGTTCTGACTGTGTTTTTGTTCTCCCCCTTGCAGGCCATTATGTACACGACATCTGTATCTATGGAAACGGAGACTTAAAGTGGCTGATCAATTCACCCAGCCTGTTTGCTAACAAGTTTGAGCTCAATACTTACCCCCTAACTGTGGAGTGTCTGGAGCTGAGGCTCCGGGAGAGAACCCTGAACCAGAGCGAAACTGCCATCCAGCCCAGCTGGTACTTTTGATCTAGGGAGACTGCAGTCGGGAGGAAGGGCCGGCTTGGAGGGAGGTTTCAAGACCATGGTGATGGCTTCAGGATCTGGTGACATAATTAGACTCAAAATACCCACTGGAAACTGTGAAGGGAGCGGATACCAACAGGATAGCTGCGTAGTGTGATCCTGGCACTTTGGCCCATTTCTGATGCCCACCTCTGTGTTAGGCTGTTGTGCTGATCAGTGAGGAGGGGAAATGTCACCAGGTCATCGCACACAATGTTCCTCATAGAAAGAGACCTGAGAGAAGGGCAGATGACCCTGTGTGGGAAAGTAAGGCTTGAGTTCCTCTGGGTCAGGAGCCTTTGAGGACACAGCAGGGGCCAATTTCCCTCCCACAGGGCAGATGTGGTTCCCAAGTCCAGCACTCACACAGCCCATGGCTGGGAAGCTGTGTGTGCAGGGGAAACTACTGAGATGGGAGGTGCTGCCTGCTGCTACGAGGAAAGGACCCTAGTGATGCAAAACTGTTCTCTACCGAATTTGACAGAGCTGTGATTCTCTTCCGCACTTTCCATCGAGAAAGCTGAGAGAAATCCCCACAAGGATGAAGGTGTCCTGCCAGCCTGCAGAGCCTCCCCCGCCCCCCACATGCATCAGGGTGATCAGATTGTGACATCAGGCAGAGGAGATGATGGGTTATTACCTGTTGAGAGCTAAATCAGATTATTCAGAAGGGAGCGGCAGGGACAAGTCAGGCTCCTCCAGCCTGCTGCATTCTAGCTGTTCCGCTGGCTTCCTCTTCCTCGTTTCATTCAAACCTTGGGACAGTCTCCCAGGGCTCTCATGATCATCCCCATTTTGCCGATGCAGCCACTGAGGCGGGGAGAGATTAACCTGCGTCAGGGTACTAATTCTCTGCCCTAGAATTGGGATTCTCTCGCTGGTCTTCTCAGTTCATTTCCTGAGGTGGAGTGTGAGAGAAGGTGAAATAAAGCCATATTTAATATACCAGTGAAGGTAGATCTTTAAGAATGGTCTCAGTGTTAAAATCGAGAAAAAGCCCCATCACCTCAGAAAAATGTGAAGTCTACCTTAGTACTCCTCTAGTCCCAAGTTCCTATTTATTTATTCTAAGGAAAAGCACATAGCATAATGGATGATACATTCAATTAACACAATTTTATTTTTTCTATAATTGTACCTGTTGAATGTTAATCATATCTAAAGGGAATGACTTTGATAAGAAATGTTTTTTCCTGCTATGGAAGAAAGTGGAATGGGCTAGGGTAGGGAAGGGTTGAAGGGCAAGAGAATGCACCCCAGGTTAGGGGTGGAGTCTAACAGTTGTCTCTTCAACTAACTGAATGGAAAAGAAGTTTTTTACACTGGCTCTTTCTTCTGTAGCTTGCAAAATTTTTCTGGAGCAGAAGATGTTTACATGTCTGTCGGTCATCTCTGTGTGTCTTAAATCCTTGCCCTGAAACTACTGTATCCATCTTTGTTTTTAGTGATGTTGTGTTCCCCCTCTCCTTGGAAATAAATTAATATGTTGTTTTTCAACTTTTGGGGAATAGTGTGTGTGTTTGTTTGATGGATGGTTAAAATCTACCAAAGAACACGTTCAGCACAGCAGTTCTATCATTATGAAAAGAGGGAAAGCAGGGCTGGGAGTGGGGCACGGATTCCCCGGCCTGGCCCACAGAAAGCAGTGCATCCATACTTATGTAACTGTCTCAAACACCCATTCACTGAAAAATAATCAAACTCCCTTCACAGGGAGTTTGGGAAATAACTTTCTCACAGTCCAGCTGGGTTTGGGGGCTGAGGAAGGAAGACTGCTGAAGTCAAGAGCCATCTCCAACCATCAATGCAGGCTGACCTTCACCACTTGGCTGAAGGGGCATCTGTCACATCTCTGCACTACAGAGTGACCCTTTCTCATTTCTGTACATCAGTCTTTGGAAGGAAGTCGCCATTAGTACAGTTACCACTTATGGTGTGGAAAATTATGCTCTACCTCTTTCAGGGTGGAGAATTATACAAATCAGATCTCAGTCCCCTCAGAGAGACACTGGCCCAAGATTTCTCAGTTAATTCCACAAAGGAAAGGGTGTTGTCTGTTCCTTCCAGAGCTTTTTAAGGGTTAAATCTATCTAAGACCATCTGGAAGTGCAAGTCGCTGGCATTTGAGTTGTAACTCAAGACTTTGGTCATAAGTTTAAAATTCTGGTCATAACCCAAATTGTTCGTATGTCAGGCCAGTTGTAACTCAAGGGTCCACTGTCCTTAAGCACCTCCTGCCTGCCAGACACTGAGTTGACTGCTGAAAATGATCAAAGCCTCCTGCATAGATGACACTACAAATGTCTCAGCAACTTTCAGGTTTCTATTTTGTTTTCTAGCCACGGGATGTGAAGGATTCTGATGAAACTATCATCAATATTTATTACTGGTTCTGTACCTGAAGCCAGTCAAACATGATGTCTTCAAGTTGCCATTAATTTTTTTTTTTAAAGAGAAAGAGAAGAGTGGCAGATCCTTTACAGTCTAATTGGGTGGAAAGAAAAATGACAAAATGTATCACCAAAGGAAAATTTTAGGCAGTGATTAAGAGCTGTGAAGAAAATGAGGGGGCAACACAGGTGAGCGGATGTGGGCAGGGATTTCTCTAGCTGAGGCTGGAAAGGAAGGAAGGCTATCTGCAGAGAATGTTTTTCTTTAATGTTATACTTGTTTCTTTGAGGTACTGAGACCTGAATTCAGGACCTCGCACATGCCAGGCAAGCACTCTTTCTCCTAGCTACATCCTGAGTCCCACTTTCCCCGGTATACCAGAGCATATTAGCTTCTACAAAATACTGAGGTTTGTTATGTCATTTTCATACATAAATACAACACCTTTTGTTCCTACTCGTGCCCCTCCTTACACCTCCTCTCATGTAGTCTCCCTTATTCTCCAGTAAGAGTCTCCGTTATACTTTCCCCTCCACTCCCCTTCTCTGCCCTCCTGCTTTCTCTCTCTTCCACATATGCATGCAATGCTTATATTTCAGAGTCTGGCTTACTCTGCTAAACATAGTGATCTCCTGTCCCATCCATTTCTTGCAAAGGCCACAGTGCTGTTCTTCGTGGCTGCTACATACTCCACCATGTGTGCCGCATCTTCTTTACCCAGTCGTGCCCTGATAAGTGCCTGGGCTGGTTCCTTGTCTTGACCCTTGTGAATTCTGCCACAGTAAACATGGTCATGGAGGTTATGGTAGTTCTGTTTGTTTTCTGAGCCACCTCAGAGGACTTACGTTGAGACTGTATCACCATCCTCAGGTGATCTCAAACACTACAGCTACAGATTAGGAATCACCTTTATCAGTGCATTTTTTTTTTTTTTTGCCTTAGTAAAAATTCAGCCATTCAAGGGCTCCTTGGAGAAAAACCTGGTTCTTGAGCTTGGGCAGAGAAAACAGGAAGTAAGACTGGAATAAGTTGCCCTGGAAGTGGGAGAGAACATACCAAGAGGCACAGGGGTCACCTTGAGAGGCTCCTACCAGATAAATGTAGGTCACTTTGAGCATCAAAATAAGTAGCAACAAGGTGCTGCTGCCTGCCTCACAAGCACAGGGTCCTGAGTTCGATCCCTGGAACCCCCCCAAAATTAAATTGCAACCAATTTTAATCCAGTTACTAAGATTATGAATATATACATGCATAGGTACATATAAACGTATGTTTACACAATTGCTAAATAAAATTTATAATAGGTCATTGACTTGGGCTGAGCTCCTGCTCCAGGTTCCAAAAGACCAAATATTTAAAAACCAGCCTCATTAAGTAAACCACAATTCTTTACTCAGGGGCCCAGCAAACTTTCTGTGAAGGATCAGAGAGTAAATGTTTTAGGTTTTGTGGGTCACATGGCTTCTGTAACAGTTATTCCCTTCTGCTTTAGAGCTGTGGACAATATGTGAACATGGCTGTGTCCTAATAAAACTTTATTGATACCCTGAAGCTATAGAGTGTGGGCCCCAGGTCCAAATAGTCCTTCCTCTCCACTGTAAGTCTAAGCATGTGGAGGTGGAACAGTTGGATTACGAGCATGGTGGGGATACCGTGACTCCACCCACTCCCTGAGGCCAAGTGGTGGGCCAAGAGAATCACTTGAAAAAAAACAAGAGTTTGAACAAAAGAAGACATGTCCACTCCTCCAGTTAGATCTTTGCGTAAGAAGCAAATATCTGGGCTCTGCACTCAGCCAGGCACACAAGGAAGAGAGCTGGAGAAAGATGGCAGAACAGAGGGAAGGTCAGAGTAGAGAGAGAGAAGCACGACTGTTTGGTGTGACAAAGACATGTGAGATTTACCAGGCCCTGGGGGGACATAGTGGAAGGAAACTGGACTTGGTTTGTTCTGTCCTGATTTTGCCAGAGGGCTTAATAGCCAGGCTAGAGGATTACTCAGTCGGTTGGGGGAGAGTTTGAGCTCCCAGGTCAGAGACCTTGGACAGCAGGCCGGCTGCTAGGCTCTCCAAGGAATGGGGGAGGGGGGGAGGAATCAAGGGAAGGAGGGAGGGAGAGAGACACGAAGAAGAATGGAGCCAGTCACAATAAGTACCCATAGCCAGTTGGTGTGGGAAAGTGAATCAGCTGTAACCAACAGCCAGAGCATTACAGTACGTATCTGTTCCTTAGAAGACAGAAGGCAGGAATGTCTCAGAGTGAAGCCTCATGCCCGCTTCCCTAACAGCACCCATTCAGAGGTCGGCTAGGGTCAGGTGGAGTCAAAGAACAGACTGTGCCTCCCACCACCTCCCACTTCTTCAGTCCAGGAACTCAGTGAGGGGCAGAGAAAGGAAGCATTCAATCGGAATTACCGGTGGACATGGCGGCACAGGCCTGTAATCTCAGTGTTTAGGAAGGCTGAGGCCGAAGGGTCTCAGGTTCAAGCCCTAGGCAACTTGTTCACTAACCGAGACCCAGTCTCAAAATTGAAAAAATCAAAAAAGGGCTGCAGATGTAATGTAGTTTAGTGCAAAGGCCCTGGGTTCAATCCTTACTATCACTACCTACTACTACTAATGATAACGATAATAGTAACAATGACAGCAACAAATTGGAATGAGATTGGAGTTTTAAAGCAGCTGGTCTTTTAATTATTCATATTTTGGAAGTTATAGAATCTACTCAAATTCCTATTAAGTAATCTGTCATAGAGAAGAAGAGGAAGATACAGAGCAATACATTTGTGGCCAAAACTGCTAGAGGGAAAGAGTGTTTTTCTTGAGTTGAAACTGCTTTAAAATCCAGCAATAGCTTCCCAATCTGGAGACCATTTCATGAGCACTTTTGGCCAAACATGCCAGAGTCACAAAACCTCTCCCCGCTCCCAACTGTACAAGTGTCTGGTTCCTAGGAATATGTAAGTCAATGAAGTTGTTGCTGTCATCAGTATCATAGAAGGATCAGGATGAAAAACAACAGAGATAACAAATGTGACTACAAATGAAGAGGATAAGTAGTATGTATCAGGGGGCAAATTACCAAAATCCTAAAAAACTAATATTCCATATGTGACTCAGTAGTCACCAAGATGTATTCATCTTCGCTACAGCTCATTAAAGAAGACCAAAAACACAGCACATTGTAGAAAAACTTCTGACAATGAAAAGAGTTGGTCCAAAAATGAAGGCTGAAAAATCCTTGCATGAAAGTGCTTGTTTAAAAATACGTGGGTGTTAAAGAAGTGTGCAGTAAGATGTGTGATAACCAACACAAGCTTACCATATGTAAAGCCAACACTTTGAACAGCTCTATGGTCAGTCACGTGCTGGTGTAAATACAAGTGAATTACATACTCAGGGGGGTACATTTTCTCAGAAAGAACCGAGATGATGCCATGTGCAGGCCCCAGCTCCCCTCGAGGACTGTGACTGCTGTGCCTGCAAACATGGATCAATAAAAACATAAAACACAGTAAAAGAGGTGGTCCATAAAGAAATATATTTCAGGTATTCAAAAAATTCGCACGAGGATACATGAATCCACCAGCAAAGGGAATCATTTGAAAATGTGCAAACAATCGAAATGGTCCATTTGTATGAGGAATGTATGGATATTGAAATTTAGTCCTCAGTTCTCCATAATTCACAGCAGTTTACATGGAGATTCTGCCTTCTCCACAATCCATGGCAGACTGTGCGGTGATTTTTCGCCTAAAGTTGCCAGGAACCCTTTCCAACTAAATGGATGAGGGAGGGGAGCGAGCCAGCCCCGTTGTTATTCATTAGAAGAATCTGCCGAGAGCCCCGTGGTGCCAGGCGCTAGGCTGAGTACTTGAGATAAAAACCAACCCTTAAGACTCAGCCCTGCCTAATGGAACGCTCTACCCTGCCAGGACAGACAACTGGAAGGATCCTCCCACTTCAAGGGGTGGGAGCGATAAGCAGGACAGACAGGGCGGGAGGAGCCCAGGTGGGAGGACTGAGGAGGCTTCTGCCAGGGTGTAACTTGGCACAGTCATGACTAATTCACTGACTCAACAACAGAAATGAGAAATGGGAAC